CCTACTGTGTCTGTTAAGTGGTGGTGTTAGTGTCTGAATTAACTTGATGTTCTTATTTGTTCCCCTAATGAGTCTGTCTTGCCCATAACTAGTAAGGGGTGGATAATCCCTTCCTGTTCTAATCTTGATTCCTGAGCCTTTTGCTTTATTTTCTTTTCTGTTCCTGAAGGGAAGGGGTGAGTGGCTGTGTGGTGCTCAGTTGCCCTCTGGGCTGAAACTATGGCAGTAGTGGAATAGGAAATAATAAAAAAGCAAGTATGCAGTGACACTTCACAGCATAATGTTACAGCTATCTATAACATGAGGACTTTGTATTTGACTCTGAGTTCATAAGCCGGTAAGAGCTGAGCTTTCACAGAGTCTTAAGGAAAGGAATTCCACAGATTGACTAAACGTTCAATGAAGCAGCAGTTTCATTTGTTTGCTTAGAGCAAGCAGAGTGGTAGTTGTTTTAATGTTTCCGGCTTTGTGTTAAGAAGACAGCAAACAATCTTTCACCGCTTGCATTTGCCATGCTACTCATTAGGTATCTGTAAATCTGTCATATCCTCCTCTTGGTCTCCTTTTGGGACTGAAAAATCAGTCTGATTCCTCCCAGGACAGAAGCTGTTCCATACTGATACAGAGAAATGATGACTTGTTTTGAGATTTATTTACTTATAGAAAACTGCTTAGCAACTTATTTACTTACTTATAGCAAGTTATAGTATTACTTACAGTATATATTTTTTTAATACTGCTAAGAATCCTGCTTGCCCAGACTGTTCTGTGGAACTTTACCAAGGACTACTGTGTTCATCAAAACAAAGCAGTTCACTGTGAAAATCTACCAAGGACTACAATGTTCAGCAAAATATTATACTTTTGTCCTTGAGGAACAGGCTCTAACTGGCTGGAATTTTGAGGCTCTAACTGGCTGGAATTTTGAGGCTCTAACTGGCTGGAATTTTGAGGCTCTAACTGACTGGAATTTTGCTAATGAGTAAAGATAGCCATATACAAATGGTAGAAGTTCTGTTGGTTCTCTTAGATAAGATAGAAAGTAAACCATCTGAGAAACACTCTTGTTATTCAAGAAATTGGCCAAGAGAATCTGCGCATGCTCCGGGGAAAGAAACGAACTGAGAAAGACTACAAGCTTTCCTCCCAAAGATGACCACCAGGAGGCACTGGGCAGGTGCAAAGATGACATAAACTGTTGACATCAGCCTTTCTAACTAACCCAGCCTTACTCACGTAATCCAATGAATATGGATATCCACACTCTATAAGTTTTTGGTAAAATGTGTGGTGGGTGTGCAGGTTTTGTGGAGAGATCCCTTGCACCCTGGTGCCGAATTAAACATACCTGTTATTTGAGTTGTAGAGTCTTTTTTCCATGAATCAGTTCCTTGAATTGTCCTTGTCACCCTTCCCTGCCTTATTCTGTTCTGCTATCTACTTATGAGAGTGGACACTCTAGAGCTGCACGTGGTATTGAAGATAAATATGTAATTAATTTATAGAATGACATGAAGCTTTTTATTTTACTCCCTTAATTCCCTACCAATTTCTAACTTATTTCTCTCTGCACTGCAAGTGCTCACACTTGTACACTGTTGTTGAACATAACACTGAACAACTTCCTGAAAATTCCCTGTAAACTATAGGGTCTTATATGAGTAATTGGTACAAGTTACTTTTAACCCTGTAGTGGATTTTAAGTTAATTTTATAGGTGATGTCTCTGAATAGCATGGTTCTGTTTATTAAAGTCCTGTAAAGGCTATCATGTGCCACTGAAAACAGCTCTTAATGCCTTGTTTCAACAGTTTCTAAGGAGGATTTTAAAAGGGTGTCAAGATGGGAGTCCAATCTTTTTCAAGGTTCATGAGGAAACTCTGAGATAGAGGCAGCAAATCTGAGACTCGTGACAGTCATCTTTTGGGCCTCTAACCAAAGCTGTTCTGGAATAAATCCATTCTAATTCACTGTGTGTACTCTTACTCCAGGTCTAGAATACTGTATCTTCTTCCAAATGTCAGAATCCAGAGCTCTATTTTCACAATTTTGTTTGTATCCAGAGGGAGAATATAATTATTTGTTGCAGTATTCCCTAGCTTTAGAAAAAGCTGGCCTAGCTTAAAACATTGGTTGGATATCTTACATGAGGATGGTTTTTGTAACTTGGGGAGAAAGTATATTTGGTTAGAACATGAATCTTGAAACGATTTGTTGCTGCCTCCAGACTTCCTTTTTCTTATCTGACCTCAAGTGGAAAAGGTCTAATAAGAATTAATGTAAAACTTCATGCTATGTACAAGGTAAGTATTTGAAAATGTGGGAGAGATACTTTGGAAGTGCAGTAAATATTTGATTTTCTACTCAAGGCAAACAAAAATAATATTCTTAACATATAGTATCATTTTTTATCAGCATTGGAGCTCTGTAGGTGCAGTGTGGTTCTTGACTTAATACTGTGTTATCTAATCCTACCTTCTTATGGTTTACTTCAAGGTTCTATGTTGTTCAAGGCAAACAGTGTCCTGTTGTAAGGACTTCTGTAAGCAGACTGAGTGTATGAATGATATTTTTTTTAAAGTCTCTGCAAATATGTGAATACATGTATTTACAAGGAAAAGGACTACCCTGCCCTTTAGAAGTGCATTGTGACAATTTGTTGATGTTTCTTTAGAACTGAAAGTCTTATGCTGTATCACAACACTTAAATAATCTTCCACTAGTTCATAAAGCAATGGATTTTACTAAGCATGGTTATAACATTCAATCTATCAGTTACTGTAGGTGGTGGTATTCTTCAAACAAATTATTACATACTTTTTTTCAGGAGACTCTGATAGGCTTGTACTTTCTATGTTAATACAGAGTCGTGCTTTTTTAAAATTATTGTTAAAGCTAATGGAACACTTTTGTTTCATGCTTTTTTATTCTTAAATTTAATGAAAACGTTCTCAAAGTGAAAATTATGTTTTCCCATTAAGGCAGTATTTTCTTTGTAAAGGGATATAAATATTCAAGATTGCTATTATTTGCCAATGTCCAAAATAACTGCCTTTTCTGTCATAAGCTTTTTGGCTAAACTGTAGCCATCTGTTGGATAAATATCTGAAGAAAATTAGTTATTTCCTTTGCTCTCTTGTTTTCTGATGATGAAATGTAGTTTGGCATTCTCTGGGCTTATCTTAGTCTGTCAGTTTGGAAGAGTAACAAACGCATGCATCGTGGAAATAAATTTCGTAGTAGGATCAACGAGGTTTTATTGAATTATTTTCCTTTCAAGTTTTGTGCTTTCAGGAGTTATTTCCAAAAGTCAGTAGTTTGTGGATACCACTTTAACTCTGTTCTCCAAAAGGAGTTTGCTGACTTCAGTTTATAGATTGTTTTTCCACACACATTTCCTTTTTATGAAGAAAACTTGGTCATCATGTAAAATAGGGAATAGTTTTTGTGATGAAGAGCCACCCTTAAAATCAATTTCAGGATAACCCTTTAGATATGGAAACAGACTTTGGTTGCCCAGGTGAAATAGGATGTATTTGTTCTGATTTCTTCCTAATGTAATCAAATATTAGGCTGGCATCAAAAAGCACTTTCAGCATCACTGACGTGTTTTTAGAAGTTGTATCCATTGGGAAGTGATTTATAGTGTAACACACAACTGGTTAAAGTAGAAAGCCATCAGAGCGGTGTGTGGTGATTTTTCTTTTTTTAAAATTGTTTATTTATTTATTTATTTATGTTTTTTCCCCCTGACATGTTAGAAGTTGAAAGTGCATCCTCAGAGGTCAGAGGTGTGTGCTGCTTAAGTTGCACATATACTAGGTACCTTTGACAACCCAGGCTAGGATCCCAGACAGAAGGATGTAGATGAAGTTTAAGCTCTGTAAATCTGGATATGGCTGCTTAGTTTGTGGCTTTGGTATGATTTTAGTGAATTCTGCCAGAGGTTTCCTCAGTTCATTGACTGTGCCTACACACAGTTTCCCTTTGCTTACCAGAGTCTGGTTTAGTTTCTAGTGCTAGAAAACTTTCAGTACAAACTTTCAGCCCTGATTGTAACTTCTTAGCATCACTGCTGTGAAGCAGTGCCAGAGACTGGTGTGAAATAATTCAATGCAAAATGTGCCTTATAAGTAGCTAAATTTCAGTTTTCATAAGTATCAGAATAATTTCTTCTCCCACAGCATTGTTACTCTCATCTATTCTCTGATACCTAAATTGTATACCAAATGGGACACCTAGGATTCTGCATATCTCAGAGATAATGGTAAAGAAGTCTTCTTTAGGAAATGGAATATAAGATAATTATGAAGCAGTTGGGTTTTTCAAAAATATTTTTGGAAGGTGGAAAATAAAGGAGAGTGCCATCCCAGAGATGCTTCTAGTGTGCATGCTTTCCTCCTGTTGGCAATCTGCCTGTTAAGCCTTCTCTTCTCATGGTCTGGACCTTACCTTGGGGGGGAAGTGTCCTGAGACTTAGCTCTTGCCCTCCATGAGTCATTTTATTGCACTGTTCTTTGTGTAAAAGAAAACACAGTTACCGTGAGCAAGATACAAGATCTGCTATGTGATGAAGCTTCACTGAGAGGGATTTATGTTCAGTATGTTGAATTTATGGCAGTAACACATGACATAGCACAAGTCTGCTATGTTCAGTGTGTGCCGCAACTCAGAAATGAGCATTAGGTCAATCCCTAGCACTTTGCAGCTGAGTCCAGATGTTGGATTCAACCAATATAACACTGGTTTAAATGCATTCAGACTTCTTATATCAATCCGTAACAGTGAACCCAGGCCTTGAATGTTACAACTGTATCTACTTTTTTTACAGAAATGTGGGGAGAAAGACTTTAAGCACTGAGGAAAGAGCTGTGTAGTCAAATAGGCAAAGGAGCTACCTGATACGCAGCTCCTGAGCTATATATTGAAATGCTGTTTGAGTAGGGTGACGTTTTCTTAACTAGTGTTTATTGTTATTGCATTTCACAATAACTTTCTACTTCCTTTTTAACAAAAATAAGTTATGTACAAATTATTTATTTCAGTCTTTATATACGTTTATGTTACTTTCTTGTAGGCCAGACTAATCTGAAGAGTCCAGAGGATATTCAGGTCCATGTTGTAAATTCGAATTTCACTCTAAGGTGGAACTACACTGGGGATGATACCAATGTGACATTTTCAGCAGAATGCCTGTGGTGAGTAGTAACTTTATTCTGAGCCAGAAATGTCTTAAGCTTATCTGTGTAGAAGACCATATTAATTATTATGCTTCTTGATATTGCCACATGAAATTTCTAGAGCCGTTTTGAAATCCAGAAAGATTAAGTCTTAAAATGTAGCTGAATCCTAGTATTGTCCTTCATTTGTCTAATTTGTGTGTAAAATTAGATTGTTCACTGATCGCAATGTGTTATAAATGCAGAACACACTTGGCAGTAATGCTTAGTACTAGAGTGGTTCTTTGAGAAGATTAACTGATAGACTAATTTTTGTTCTTTGAAGTTTGCTTTGTTTTCTTCAGTTTTTTGGATTTTGCTTGGTTTTCTTCAACTGTTTCATATACCAACACTTATGCATGCATATACATACACATATACATTTGGTATTTTGTGTCACTTCCCTGACAAGTAAATATTAAAAACCACTTTTAAGATAAAATCACTTAATAAGTTTTTGATTTTTAGGATTTTCTACTGTATGATTTTGGATTTAAAAAAAAAACAACTGAAAAAACAGTTCACCTTCAATGTGTAGATGAGAATGAACAGCTTTGAATATAGTCTCATTTTAATAACGTAGTAGTGATCTGAAAGATAAGATAGGAGTTGAGAATAAACAATTACTGCTTCAAGCCTCTCTTTTTTTTTTTTTGGTCAGGACATTTTTAATCTCTATATGAAATGTCTCTTAAGTATGAATGTCTCCAAACTCACAAGAAAAATAGCTTCTGTAAAGCTAACTATTCCAACATGGACTGCTGAACTCCCATTTTCTCCATTGAGGGCTTTTTTTTCCCCTAATCTACATTCCTTGCTAATGTTAGAATTGGGGGGGGGTGCTGATTTTATGCTCTTTTAAGCACTTCTTTCCATTAAAACTTTAAAATTTTGTGTACTAAGGATATAATTCTGGATTTTGACAGTTCTTTGATGCTGTTTCCTGACACTCTGTGTTTACATGATGAATAAAGTAAACTGGTATGAGACTCTGCAGACTGATAGTTAACCTTTGGTGATAAGGCTAAACTAATAAATTAGTAGATTAATTAATGAAATGGCAATATGAATTCCAGGGTAACTAAGTAGATAACACTGATTACACTAGTGCTGGGTAAAACAGCATTAAATGGTGTGACATTTATTAGCATTAAGAAGAAAAGTAAGAAGAATCTCAAGGCTTAAATTGTGTATTGGTTTTATTTTTGGGGTGTCTTCTCTCTTACAGGTTTGAAGGTTATGGGACAGATAAAACAGAATGGAAGGAGTTGTCTGGGTGTCAAAAAGTTACGCGCACAGAATGTGACTTTTCCTCGGCAATAACAGAATACTATGATACACATCATGTGCGTATAAGGGCTGAAAGAAGGGAAGAAGTGTCTCCATGGTCTAGCATTTTTGAAATGATTCCATATTGTATAGGTATGAGCTCTATATATACTGTAATATTTTTAGTTAGATGTCCTTCAGCATGTTACTGTGGAAAAAATGCATGTGGCTTCCATTGTTCATAACGCATGAGCTAGTGATTTTCTCAATGTAAGATAAGGTGTTTTCAGGTCATGGAGTGTTATGATTCTTTTGTGGAAAGGGGAAAGTATTCTAAATGATACTGTTTTTCTGACAGAATTTTATGTCACTCCGTATTTTTCTAGATTTCGGAGAAATCCTTCTTGACGGTGGACTTGTCTGGAAGTTTTCTTATGACATTGTGACTTTTCAGGAGTTGCATTATAGTATGATACTGAAGCCTTCCCTCAATGTTGGATTGATTTGTTTGATCTAGGTTTCTTGCCTTGCATGTTTTAGAACAACTTATACTGATTTTCATTGCAGACTCTGGAAAACATACACTAGTAATATTGCATTTTAACTGCTTCTTTTAGAACTAAGTAATGGTGGTTGGTTTTTATGTTAGATTTCTGTTAGATGCTGCCTGAGATTCATTAAAACTAAGATCCTATAGACAATTACTGTGATCTTGTTACTGCCTCTAAAGTATTAAAAATAAGATCCTATAGGCAGTTACTGTGGGTTTATTAATGTAAATTATTTTGTTGGCATTTTTTTCTTTAAATAGTCATACTTTATTTTTCTTTTAATATTTGCAGCTCAGATTGGTCCCCCAGAGATAGAGTTGCAGTCCATAAATGGAGTCATAAAAGTTAAGGTTTCTCCTCCAGAAGCAAAAATGTGGATAAATCCTCTAAATTTTAAATATAATCTCATAATCTGGGAAAATTCATCAATTGATGAGGTATGATTAATTTTTTTTTCTTACTCTTTAACCTTAATGTAACTGTCAGAGATGTATTTTAACTGCTTCACACTGTAAAATGGAATTGTTCAATTATGGAACTGTATAACTGTTGCTGTGCAGTTTACAAGTTGGGAGGGTGTGTTCTCGCGGTTTTTTGGTTTTACTAGAAGATTGTACTAGATATTTTGTTATAAGAATTAGTATTTCTGTTCAATGCTGGATCCACTTTCTAATGCATGAGGAAGAAGGTGAAACCATCTCAGATGTGTTGGAGCAGGAGCCACCCTCAGCAGGAGGAACAGGGAGGGGAAAAGGGTTCAAGGCAGTGGGAAGAAGTGTTTACACTAAGGCATAGATATAGGGGAGGGAGAGGTAAGAGATGATTTTACTGAGACCGTATAGTTTGACTACAGCTATCAGTACACTGCCCTGGGTCATTAATTAAGTTCTTTGTTTTTATACTGTAGGTTGGGATTTCTTAGGGATTCTTTTGAGGTCTTGTAACTGTGAAGTAGTTTCCAAGCTGTAATTGTGCATCTTGCACAGCAGATATAGCTATTCTGTAAAGATCAAGGTAGAAACAGTCTTTTTTTATCCTTTTGGGAGAATGGGTGCCAGCTAGATTGGGGTAGTAACTGAAGAGATACCCGTGTTCATTTGGAAGACCTAGTCATAACCATTACACATCAAAGGGGGAAGAAGCATTAAATTAAGTATAAGCCGTGTACAAAGGTCTGTCACTGAAAAGTCTAGTAAACCAAAAGCAGGGAGATAGAAGGAGGAGGGAATGCTCATTCAGTGAATTGAGAGACAGAAGTGTACTATTTATCTTTTCAGTATGAGCCTGAATATTTGTGTGGTGACTTATGTGTCATGTACAGCAGTGCCAGAATCCCTTCCTACTTTCATGTGTTAAAGGGGCATGACACAATCCTTCTCAGTCCCGTGGCTATACTGGAAACTTAACCTTTAGCATTTATTCATTTAGCACTTTTGATGGCATATTCTATAAATGGGCTGAAGCCTGAGGAAGAAAAAAGATACTTTAAGAAAATCAGCTCATTAGGAAGAACAGTTATCTTCATATGCTCTTTGCAATTCTTTCTTACAGTTCAGAAGTCTAAGTATTTTTCCTACTGACATAATTGATGATCTTGTGCCAGACACTACCTATTGTTTGAAAGTTCAAGCAACAATTCCTTTGGACTTGAAAGAAGGCTTATTCAGTCCCATTCGTTGTGTAAAAACTACCCATAAAGGTACAGAGTAAAATCTTTTTATCTTGAAATGATTGCTCAAGTTTAAACTGTTGGAAAGGAGATTGTTCTAAAGCAATAGGAATATGCAGATGTACCAGGTTCCTACTCATTTTGGTATAACAGCCATCTTGACAGTTATGTACATTTTCTGTTTTAAATTAGTATAAAATATAAGAGTTTTGATAGTACAAAAAGGTTTTTGCTCGGAGGCAAATTCTGTTCACTAATTTGGATTGCAAAAACTACTTTCTGTTTTGTGGAAAACTGGATATTTATGAATTTTTAACTTTGAATCAGGAGGAAAGGGATGTGTATGTAGGCAAAAGAAAAGCTTTTTATATACTTGGCATTAAATGAATGTGTATGAAGTTGAGCTAAGCTTAAAAAAATATTGGTTTTATGCAGGCCTTTCTTGGTGAATTTATTATTACAGATTCTGAAGAATGGCTTATTGACAGTTTGCCACCCGTTGCTTGTTTTGCATGTCTAAATTTAAAATCTTTTGTGTGCTGTTCAGATGTCAGTTTAAGTACTCTGAAATGTTTATTTCAGGAAAAAAAAAACAACTGTGGGAATGTAGAAAGTCAAACAATAGATTGAACAGATGGTACATCAAAATTACTTCATGTTTACACGCGTATATTTTCCACATTTTTGTCATTACTGCTGAACAAGTTTATTTCTACTAATCACAATGTTTCTGTACTTATTTTTTTCTTAATTGATTTTTCACTGATTCTTTTTTATTAAAGGCTTAATATGCTGTATATATCATGAACTTTGATTTTCCACCTTTATTATGAAAACAGACAATTTTTATTGTTATGGGAAGTGTACCATGACCATTTACCTGAGAAATGCCCGTCGAGTGAGAAGTTTCTGTACATAATCTAAATCTTTTCAGTAACTGTGGGTTTCCTTTCCTTTTTATTCTGAGCAGTGAATGACCTAGTCTGTGCAACAAATGTGAGCATTTTTGCTTTGAATATGAAATTTCATCTGCAATGGAATAATCAGTATAAACAACATGTGAGCTACAATGTACAGTATCTGATGTGAGTTAAAAAATTTCCATACCTCTGTTTAAACAGGTTATGTCATTCTAAATGCTATCTATTGTATTTTACAAATAGTTAGTAGAAGTTAAAGTGAAATGCTTAGCAAATGTTACTTAATGTATTCATTAACACTGGACTGTGTGGCTTTTAAAAGGATTGTATATAACATCATACCCTAGAATTTCAGGGTGCTAGACTTCTTTTAGGAGTGTTAAATACCTGATGGAATGGACTACTAGATGTGTGCTAAGTAACACTTAAAAGATGTGAAGTCTGCATTGCTTCTTAGCTTTTGGAATGTAAAGAAATTAGATGACCAGCAGTGAGCAAAAATGCAGGTGTTCAGTGTTTCAATTCTCAGCATATTTGATTACTTCTGGTCAGATCCCAACATGGAAGAAAACCCATCTTGTCTATAACTGTATCTTAATATCCAGTTGTGTCACGAGTATTGTGGCCAGCATCTAAAGGAAGACTCTAACATTCTCTTGGAATTCCTGTGACGTGACAGAAAAATAATCAACTTAATAGAACTATATGAAAAATCTTAATTTGTGTTTTAAAAATTTCTAAAACTGATATATAATTTTTCTACTAAGGCTTGATTAAAGCACTAATTTGTAGTATTTGTATTTCCTGATCCAGTTAACGTCATTGTTTCAGTTATAAATGAAAAAACAGTATTCTAAATATGAGAAATTTCCAAGAGGCCCATTCTTCCAAAAATAAAAAACCCTATGTAGCACAAGTGAACATGCACTTTTTATTTTTTTAGTTCAAGGACTTAGTATGAAAAACTGTTCAAATATCTCTTGCAGGGGGTATCTAAAGAAACTTCATGATGATTACTCAGTGAAGTGGCTCAGTGTACCCAGATGTGAAAATATCACTGATACACAATGCAATTTCTCATCTATCATCACTGCTACTTCTGGATTTTATTATCTCCGTGTGCAGACCATGAATGAATATAATAAATCATGTTTGTCTGATGAAGTAAAAGTAGATCCTCTGATAACAAGTAAGCAAATGTGTGTTCTTAAATTTTCATTTGTCAACAACTTTGTACCTGATGCTGTTATTTGCCAAAAGAAACTTGCTAGATTAATGAAACCGAATACACAGTTCCCCTACAGAAACTGTGTTGGAAATCCTGGCCTCGTCAGGTTAAACAGGAGTTTTCCTATGGTCTTCTCTATTCGGCACAGCCAGTATTTCCCTATATTTAGAATCATATAATTTACTTTACAGAATTCTACCACGAAGCATTATATGCCATTTTATAATCTCACTGTATACTACATTAATCACTGTGTGAGACTGTACTAGAAATATCCCCAGTCTGATTTTTGCCATTGACAGGGAGCACTTCTTAATAGCTCATAAAAACGTTGCCAAAGTCAAACAATATTGGAATCTGCTACCTCTATTTTCTTGTGCATCTACTCTCATGTCCTCCCCTCTATCCCTCCACAGTGCACCCCTGAATTTTGTGCTGAAGCAGTATTACATTGACCTACAACCCTGAAGGGTTTCATGAAAAATCTGTCTTTAATGGTAGTGACATCAAAGTCAAAAATATGCAACGCTTTCCAGAGTGAAATTATAATTGTTTTTATCTTTGCACTTTTTTGATTTTGTAAGAAATATGACCTTACTAAAATGTTTGACTTAAAGTTATCAATCATAAACATAAAGCAATATTTATCTAATACATAGGGTAATATTTCATTGCCTTCTATATTGAAGATGGAATCAATAACTATTCTATATGTCAGCTTTCCTTTGTCCAAGTTCTTGATAATATAAGTGACCTAGGTAAATACTAGAAAACGAACACTTTAATGCTTCTCATTTTTCAACTATACAACTGTGAAAGGGGATATATGTTAAAAAGAAGGCTTGTATCCTAATGAGATTAAAAAGTGTTTGTTATTTGCAGAGAGTTAATCCCACTGTCTGTGTATTTCATGTCACCAAAACTTGCAGAAGCAACATATGAATGTGGAAAGAGAAAATAATTGAAATGTGTCTCAGGATTTAAGATTCTGAATAAAGCTATAGTTGTTAAGACTTTTAAATATATGTTTCTTAAAAATTGTGATAGATTTAAATTACAATATTTTATGCAATGTTTTTATTTGTATTCTTTCACTCCTATTTTTAACTTCTATTTTTAAATGTTTTAAGATGAAATTGGCCCTCCTGATGTAAAGCTGGACATCAGTGATGTTTTGCTTCATATCCAGATTTCTCCTCCAGGAGGATCTGAGAGTGACTTCATGAGGGACCATTATGAATTGTCTTACCGGATTCTGTATTGGAAAAATTCATCAGATAAAGAGGTATGAACTAGTTAAATACTTACAACAGTACATAAAATTTGTTGTGACTTAAATACTGTGTTTGAGTTCTTAGGAAGCTTATTTTCAAGAGAGGCACGTGTATGGTGTATCAGTCATGCAATCAAATTTTTTTTTTCCTGAAAGATTATTTCAAAAATCTGGCTGAGACAACTTTTATCACAAAGTAATTGAGATTTTAGTCTTTTTCCATTGATGTGGCTATAGGTAATGATTTTCAGAATTGCACTGAGTTTTGTACAGGCTGCTAAATGGCTAACTTTTGAATAGAAGTTGTAGGGTTCTTGTGCTGCCATCTTGCTTACAGTATGACTCTGTGTAGTATCTTAGTTAATGTAGCTTCTGGCCCCTTGATTTCTTTATTTGTGGTTTTATAGGTATATGCATCATAAGACAATGAATTTTTGCGTGCTTTTAGCTCACGTTTTAATGGATCTTTTTGTATTCTTTAAATGCTTCTTATAGTAAAATATTACACAGTAATTGGTAAATGTGTATGTGTAAATGCATGGAAGAAGAGAATAAAACAAAGTGCAACAGGAAGAGGTTTAATTTTGCACACAACTTTGAACTCTAAAATTTCATTGTGGTGAAAGCAGTAGGTTTTGCCCATTAAGCGTTTCCTGAACGTGTGATTTCTTTTATTTAATTCAAGTGCAAAATGGTGTCTGACTTCTTACAGAATTACTTCTTCAGCAGAGGCCAAAATTCTAATCTGAGTGGCTCTTGTACTATTTATGTGCATCTTATTCTTCCAATTTTTCTTTTTCAGGAGGAAATAAAAATGAAAGAGATAAAACAGACAATAGGGACAGTCTCTGATCTAACACCCTCGACTTTGTACTGTGTAAAAGTCCAAGCATTCTCAGAACTTTACAACAAAAGCAGTCATTACAGCAAAGAGGAATGTATCAAAACACCTGGAGGTAGGAAGAGTTTGGGAATCCTTACACCCCTGGAAGTAAAATTGTTAACCCTTCATAGGTCCTTGCAGGTCTCACTAGTTAAAAAATATTGACTTAATGGCCTCACAGAGTTAGCAGCTAGCTGGGCAGAGATCTGTATCAGCAGTCTGTCACTTTGCTGCTCTGTGTTCTCTCCTATAGCTAAACTAATAAACTGCTGCTGTTCTAACCCAATCAAAATTACATCCTGGTTATTCCATGACACAACTTGGTTTAGAAATTCTCAAATTAATAACTGTAATGATTGTGAACTAACCTTAGCTCTGTACAATGACTTGTTAATAGGCAAGCTTTAAATTCCAGTACTTTTAAGATATTTTTAGGAGGGTGCAAGGAATCACTAAATGCTATGTTTTCAAGAATATTTTATTATTGAAATTGTCTTAATTATACTGTCAATGAATTCAATTTTTAAAAATCCTGTGCTAAAGTGTGAGGAGACAAATCATCAGACTCATTATAGCTGAAAGCTCGCCTTTGTGCAAAATGAGAATACATTTATAGATAGATTACACGCACTCAGAAGTGTTTTACTAGTTAGTTATTAGTCTTCCCCACGTCCTTCTATGATAACGAGCCTATTTAAGACCAAGCAGTATGTTCAATACTCTATATTAAGAGATGTAGTCATACAGATCATGCCCTGTACTTCCCATACATTCTTATATCCCAGTGTGGAAATCTTTAATTCTCTGATCGTTCATACTGACTGGAAATAGAGGTAAAAAGATGTTATTTTCTCATCTTGATTATCTGTAAAGTATCTCCTGGTATGTATCAATTTTAGTATGTTCAAACTCCCTTCAGCTGTTTGTTTGAGATTAATGCCAGAGAGGCAAAGCAGAAGAGTGGAGGGGGAAGGAAGCTTGCAAGACTCAAGCACTGAATAGCTTATGACTCTACAGACAAAAGGTTTCTTTGACTACAGTATTTTACTATCTAGAGCTGGATTCTGTCACATAAACTCCTTCTACCATAAGGTCCAACCCTAAGTCCTAGAACAGAACCTAGCCTGTTAAAAAGTTTTCCACAGTTCCTGGGTTACAGAAATGCAGGACCATAGACTTACAGAATAGTTTGGGTTGGAAGGGACCTTCAGAGATCACCAAGTCCATTACCTCTGCCACAGGTAGGAACATCTTTCTCTAAATTAGGTTGCCTAAAGCCCTGTCCAACCTGATCTTGAACACTTCCACGGAGGAGGCATTCACAAATTCTCTGGGCAGCCTGTTCCAGTGTCTTGACCACCCTCATTGTAAAGAATTTCTTCCTTATGTCCCGTCTAAACCTACCCCGACTTTCAGTTTAAAACCATTGCCCCTTGTCCTGTCACTACAGGCTTTGGTAAAAGGTGTCTCCATCTTTCTTATAAGCCCCTTCTAAATACTGAAAGGCCACAATAAGGTGTCCCTGGAGCCTTCTCTTCTCCAGCCTGAACAACTCCAACTCTCTCAACCTTTCTTCCTAGAAGAGGTGTTCCAACCCCCAGACCATTTCTGTGGCCCTCCTCTGGACTCACTCTAACAGGTCCATGTCTGTCTTGTGCTGGAGGCCCCCGTACTGGACACAGCACTCCAGGTGGGGTCTCATGAGCAGAGCAGAGAGGGACTATCATCTCCCTCCACCTGCTGGCCACTTCTTTTGATGCAGCCCAGGATACAGTTGGCTTTCTGGGTTGCAAGTGCACACTGCTGGCTCATGTCCAATTTTTCACCCACCAGTATCCCCAAGTCCTCCTCAGCAGGGCTGTTCTCAGTCCCTTTATCCCCCAGTCTGTATTGATACTGAGGATTGCACCATCCTGGGTCCAGGATCTTGCACTTGGCCTTGTTGAACTTCATGAGGTTCACATGAGTCCCCTGCTCAAGCCTGTCAGGATCCCTCCAGATGGTGACCCTTCCCTCAGCCTAATCAACTGCACCACTCAGCTTGGCGTCATCAAGTTGATGACACCATGTCTGAGCACTGAAGTGAAATTCATCTTGCCTTTCTAGACTAACAAAGTCAAATCTTGTGCTCAGCTAGTGTGTAGACTACCAGCATAGAAAATAACTGGAATAACCTTGGATTTGATTTCTTAGATAAGCATCTGAAAGGAATAGATGCTCACTGGAAGATCCTTTTTTTTCTCTCTGCCGGCTGTGTTAAAGCTTACAATTGGAGTTCCCCTCCTGTCCGAGAAACCATCTGGGTGCTTTTGGGCCCCTGAAGACCCTGCAAGTCTAGGCACTCTAATAATTTCCTGACTAAAAACCATGGGCCAACTTCACTTTAGTAATTGCCCATTTTCACCCCATATCCCATGGGAATTCTTATGCCTGTATCTCTGCCTTCTTAAAGGAGAGAACTCTATCAATTACGTACTGTGTTCCTTAGGGTTACACCCTGTGCACAAGCAATAGCACAATAAATTCATATGCATTAGGTTCTTCACAGTAGCTGTCTATGTGCAGCCTCTTTGTTCTGCTGTCAAATAGAGACATATAACTGGGAATAACTGATCTTAGTTCTGATCCTGTCTGCAAATGCATGTGTTCTTATATTGGATGAATATTTTGCGCTGTGTTTTTAATATTATTATCTAAGATATTGGAATGGCATCAGATTTGTAATGATCGGCTGGGCATAGCACTGTAGAAATGCGAAATTTTATGGTAAATACTGTAGCAGATTTGGACATAATCTGTTCTTTGATCTTTGCTGTTTATGACACCTAGACTGAATGGGTTTTATTCACTTTTTTTAGATAAAATTTTACCTCTGATCATTTTAGCAACGTTTGTAACTGCCCTGATTGCTGTCTGTCTTGTGGCTACAGCACTTGTTTTTGCACTGTATCAAGCCTACAATAAAATCAAGTATGTGTTTTTTCCATCATGCCAGCCTCCTTTGAACATAGAGGTAAGATGATATGTGTTTTTCTCATTCATTAAGCAGATGCATTTTTAGAAAAATTAACAGAAAATATTATGAAAAAGTGTTTATCTGTTATCCTGTGGTCTTATGGGTATGCCAAGATTAATTGTATATGTTTTAACGAAGCACAGGAATTCCTGTGGAAAAAATGGGTAGTACCAATTTCTAGAATTCTGCGATTAGCAAATATTTTAACTTTTTTTTTTTCTTCTATCTATGCAGAAGTATTGCTAATGATCCTTCATTCCAGAGAGTGTGCATGTCATATCTAGTGTGATAATGTACTTTTGCCTGTTATGTGACACCAGAAATGTTTTCCCATTATACTATCTGGAAGAGCATGCTCTAGCCTTTTTGTCATCCTTTAAAACTCAGAGGAGGCAAAAATGCAAGCCCAGTCTTTCAATGAAATTTTAGCGTAGCAGGCAGAAAATGCTTCTCCCATCTCCTGACCTAGCAGCCTCCACAATCTCTAAAATTGCAGATGTCATCCAATTTCCAGCTGAGCTTGGCACAAGTAGTACTTAGCAGGGATCCTGTTCTGCAATGAACAGGGCAACATGTAAATGTAGGTGTATTTTGAAATGTAGCAAGAACTGCTTTTCATTGTGCTTTCTTCTGTGTCTCTCAGAACACTCATGTTGAGCAGGGTGTGGCCTTCATATGTGTGTCATCTTCTCGCTGAAGCTACTAGGATATATACTATACAGAGTTTTCTGAATAAAGTTTTAATTTAAAACCAGTCTTATGGTTTACAAGGGCCAATCTGAATTTAATGTGTTTTAACAACATTTTAGCTGGTTTGTTCAGTAGAATGCTGGCAATGTAATTAACGCAATGCATATTTAGAACCTTTTGTGATGGATTTGATATAAATGACCACTTCAGAAAATAAATGTAAAGCATGTAGGCTAAACAGCAGTGCACTGCTGAGAGCTGTGTAAGGCTTGTTATCCTGCTGCAGCAGTTTGCCTTCTCTGTCTTCTTTCAAACTTTGCTTTATAACTGATAATAACTTGTAGACTTTGCAAACACGTACCTGTCATCCCTGTGCTACCACATGATCTTTGAAAGTGTTCTAAATTAGGATTTTCCTTTTTTGTTTTTCTGTGGCCTCCTGAGGCTGTAATCAATTAAATACTATGATTACATAGATGATAGACAACTATGAGCATAGCAAAAGTTAAGATTAGAGTAATTCTTCAGTGTTCAATTATATGAATGCAACTAAACTTCATCTTAACATTGAGTTTGTGAACTTGGGGAAACAAATGACATATTATAGGTAGAAAACCTCATGATGTTTCTGTGTATGATAAACCAGATTTGTACAGCTGTAGTGTTAAGTGGAATCGTTATCTCAGTGTTATGATGAACGTTCATCTCTTTCTTTTCTGCTTCTCTTTTTTTTGCAGCATTTTGGAGGACAGCTCTTCAGCAGTCCTTATCTGCCAACTACAGAAGAACTAATAGAGAATTGTTCTATAATTGAGACTATCATCACAGAAGAAGTAAATCAAATTGATTTTAAAGACTACAAACATTCTAAACAGAGCAGTCGAGATTCAGGAAATTATTCTAATGATGATGATAATAATTCAGGGAGCAAAGTGTCAGGAGAAATGGTAGAAAAGGAAATAGTATAACTTTTAAGAAAATAAAATTTATATATGGGACTGGCAGCGTAATAAACACTTAAAACTTCTTTATTGTGGAAGTCACAGCCTAAGCAAGACTTTGGGCTCTTGGTCTTTCCATATCTGCACTTTGTTAGTGGAAAGTTACATACCCTGTCTGCTGCAAGCTGACTGAAGTTAAAATACAATTGACTTCTCATACCTTACACCATTTTATGACTTTTCATCATATGATACAAAGAATACCATCTGCCTATGGAGGAGCAGACTGTACACTTTATATACTTGAACCTGATAACCTCAGTGAACGCCTGCTCTGTTCCAGAAGAGTTTCTTGCTGTCTTAGAGGTTTTGAATGCCAGTCTGTACTGTGACAGAAACTTTTCATTCCAGTGTTGAATCTTACGATGTTTACACAGGATACAATTTTAAGAACCTTTCTGACATGCTTTTCCAGCCCCTTCAGGGGCAGTGCTCTTTGGCTCAGCATGTCCAGAGCAAGAGATGCAAAGGGACTAACAGTAACCTCAGTGGGGTGGCTTCTCTGAGCCTCCTTATGGAATTTTTCTTTGTGGCTATGGCTGTGGGATGCTCCCAGTGCCCACTCACTTGTTTGTGTATCTTCTCTCTGCATCAGGGTGCTCTTCTCCCACAGCACTCAGTAATCTGGGTGATTTTGGGGATGGGGAAAGCAGGAGAGAAGTTCACTTTGTTTTACTATAAAGAAAAATTTCATAGTGGAAGCTCTTTGTAAATAGAGCGTGGATCAAATGGTTTTGCACTGTATTTAGGATAAAAAGTGAGAAATGTCCAAGCCAAATATACACTGCAAGAAGAAACTAACTAATGCTGTTGCTTTAATGACAAGGCATGTTAAGAGGCATATTCTTGATTATTTTCTTTCCCATGTCTAGATAACCAGAAGTGTAAAATACTTACTCCTAATTGAATTGTATTTAGAAATGTGAATCTCTTTTAACAAGGAAGAAACTTATTTCTGTAATTAGAAGACCCAAGTTGAATTTAGAAAATGCCTTTTAACAAATGGTGAGGATGTTTGTCATTCAGAGCTTTTTCAGCGTTTTCGTTTTGCCAACAGTCTTTTCTTTGTACAAATTATAAGGATATGCTGCAATAATGTTTCAATTTGCATACCACTTTCTTATGAAGTAATTTTTAAAGGAGCTTATTTTTTATGAAGAAACTGATCTAGAGTAAACTGGTTTTGACCTTCATGTGGGCATCTGTTTATTGTAACAAGCAACTGTGTTGATGTTATATATAATTTTTTTATTATTTTGAAGATATGATCTAATTTTATAAATTTTATGTCCCTGTGTTCATTGAAGAACATAATAAATTTTGCACATTTATTACTTTATTCCTTTTTAGTTCCATGTATTTTTGATGTAGTGACATTGAAGCTATACCACAGAGACTTAGGAAGTTCCTGTGAGTCTTCACTTAGTGTCCTTCCTAAAAAACCCAGTGTGAATCATATCATATATAAACTTAATTAGGGCTTCTGTGAAGTGTTGCATGATTTACACAAATTGGAAAGAAAGTGCTAATTCATTTTCTGAATTGGAGCTTAAAATGAGAACACTGAACGTGAGCTTTTCGCTTACTGTGGTCTTTGGTAAATAGCTTTCGTCTGTGAATTGTTCCAAGATACTTAAAGACAGTATGAAGTTGTCTGTATTTGTATGGTATCTTCAGAATAATCCCAAGTTTGCTGTGAGAATGCAATTGTTCCTCTTAGTGATTTATGCTGTAGCTGGCCTCACTGGATGTTTTTTCTCAAACAACTTTGACTTCAGTCTGGTTTTCTTACCTGTGACCTACTTCTACAGTGGAGTTTGGGAACATATTTTCATTTTGGGGTTTTTCAAAAGTGAAGCTATTCTAAGCAAGTTTACTCAAGTAAGGTGTGGTGGGTTTTGGTTTTGTTTTGTTTTTCCCTGCTCATGTAGGGAAAATGTTTCAACTGATATTTCAGCAGCTAACTGTGGGCTATTACTTTGATAACTGTTTTCTGTGACACAAGATTTTATTTGCCTGCTGGAGTTTCACTACTCTGGAAGAAAGGTATTTAATGTGAAGGATTTCACTGTCAGATTTCAAACGATGGCAAAACAGTCTACAGTGAATGCTTCTGAAATAGGCAGAATTCACAATTTGCAGACAATCCACATTTTTCTTCAGAATGTAGAATCAAATTAATATATATGTGTGCTTAAAGTTTGGTTATAAGATGGGTTACAGAAAATCTTCCATCAGTTCTTTTCAATGTTGTGAGAAGAAGCAAAACCAGAACTCTAAGATGGAAATACTGATTCTCTTTATACAATATCTAATACTTAAACTGGAAAATGAAGTTCCTAAATACCTGAGGCAATCTCATTATGATATGCTTCAGGTGTATCCAGAAATGCTGGAAAAATAATTTGACAGAACTTCTAAGTTCACCTTCTAAGAGCAGTTTATTATAGTGCATAAAAGAACTTTGTTTAAATGTCTTTTTTTTTTCAATTTCCAAAGTCTTTCTAAAGAATAAGACCCTTGAAGTGGTTTTTTTTTTTTCCTCCTTCAAAATATTTCTAACAATAGAAAGCTGAGCTTTATTATGTGGTATGGAAGAAGTCTGAGGAGGAACTATATTTGCCTTTCTTCACTGAAATTAGTGATACAGATACATACTGATTAGATACAGCCCTATTAATAATTGAATACTTTCAACTGGAAAATGTAGAGTTGGATTTGTCAGTACTGATGATAAAAATCACAAGGAAGCTAAACCCAATGTTTTTGAAACTAGAAGCACTTAACCAATGTTGGTGTTGTGGAATGTGTGTAATATAATCAGCTTTAAGACTTGGTGTGTGGAGGAGCGATGAAGCAGAAGTTTCCTGTCATGGGATTGTTAGTTGAAAGGAAACCAACATCTGGTAGTGATTTTGCATACTGGATCACAGATGCTGTGACTTTCCCATGACTTCTGCTTTTGGAATGGATTTTGTTGTTAGGATTGTTTTTATATATATTATTTCAGAATCCTGTGCTTGATGATGAAACCTGGGTAAGAATGTACAGATGAAAATACAGTCAGTAGAGAACACTTTTGGTGGTAAATCTTTATGGGATATTGGATCATTTTTGTAGGGACGCTTTACTGAATGATAATTGTGCAGCGTAGTTGACTGTACTTTTTACTGAGGTATTTGGCATGTTTATAAGTGTTATGTACTGCTGTTTGGCATTGGGAATTTATTTCAAAGAAAAAAAATCTGAAGATGCATGACAGTAGGATTATTTCTCACTTTACTAGGAATTCAGTGCCTTTTGGGTAGGGGGAAGCAGAGGAGATCTGCAGAGGAGGAATTGTGGTACATGGCTATGCTCTGTTCTTCCTGTCACTACAAGTATTTTTTTGAATGCGTGCCAGTGATGATTTTCAGTTAAGATGAAATACATAGGTACGGTAGTACCTGGCAGTGGAGCATTTGCTCTAAATGAAGAAATGTAGGTAAGTTGAGGTATATTGGGCTTACAGGTAAGTCATGGGGCCTTTCTTAGGGATTAATGACTAATGATCTACATTTACTCAGCACTGGTGAGACCACACCTGGAGCACCATGTCCAGTTCTGGGCTCCCCAGTGCAAGAGAGACAGGGACATACTGGAGAGAGCTCCATGAAGGGCCACGAAGATGGTGAAGGGACTGGAGCACCTCACATATGAGGGAAGTCTGGGCGAGCTGGGACTGCTCAGCCTGGAGAAGAGAAGGCTCAGGGGGATCTTATCAATGTCTATAAATACCTGCAGGGAGGGTGCAAAGAGGACAGAGCCAGGCTCTGCTCAGTGCTGCCCAGTGACAGGACCAGAGGCAATGGGCACAAACACACACGGGAGGTTCCCTCTGAATGTCAGGAAACACTTTTCCTGTGAGGGTGACCGAGCACTGGCACAGGTTGCCCAGAGAGACTGTGGAGTCTCCATCCCTGGAGATATTCAAAAGCTGCCTTGACAGGCTCCTGGGCAACCTGCTGTAGGTGGCCCTGCTTGAGCAGGAGGGGTTGGACTGGATGCCCTTCAGAGGTGCCTTCCAACCTCAACCCTTCTGTGATACTGTGATTCTCTCTTTTTGGACAGTATTGCAAAACATTTAAGAAGTGAACTAAGACACTTTTTTTCCTTTTTTTTTTTTTTTTTTTTTTTTTTCCCCAGCTATTCTGTCAAGGCCCCATTAAAAGTATAATTGCAGTAAATTTCAATCCATGAGGTTGTTGATAATCAGTCTCAGTTAAGCTAGAGGAATACCAACCATGTCAGTCGTCCTGACAATCACAGTTTGTTAGGGTTGCAGGTAAGCTTGAAGAATTTCTGACACATAGGCTTATGGCACTAAGATAATAGTTTGCTAATTTTTTAAGGAAAATGATGGTTCTTGTTTCAGGCTGATAGTCATCAATAAAATGAAAGTTCTATGATGCTTAACTTGCATTTCTAAACTGTCCATCTATATCCCAAATTTCCCTGTCAGTAGCACCCAACTAAAAGTGCAGTGTTATGCTTTAAGAATCCCAAGGTATCAGAAGTGCCACTTTTTGACAAATGTCTCATTTGCCATTGCTGTCTGTGACCAGATAAGCAAGTCTTTGAAAGTTCAGATTAAGTGATTGATTCCATACTGAGTATTTTAAGTAAATTTCTAGAAATGTAAGCAAGATTGCCTGCAAGTTTTCCAGCAAGAGATCTTTTCCTAGACCATCAATCCTTTATTTACTGCAGGCATTTCCATTGCAGAACTGGGGAGGCACATGTAGTATATAATAAATGCAGGCAAACCAATAGAAAATGTAGTTGGTCTTTGTAGAACTTTTTTTTTTTTTTTTTTTTTTTTTATATTGCCTGCTTGTCTAATATTGCAGCTAGCTGGCAAGTGAATTTCACCAATCACAGTGAGGAAGGCTTTCCAATTACATTACAGTAGTGGTGATCTTAGTAAATTCTTGTTTTCATCACAGATGATATTTCCTAGGTATCTAATATCCCATTCAAAAAACCAACATGACAGTGTGGGCAGTCAGGACAAATAATTTGTCCTCTTGGAAAATATTCTGACAAACTTTACACTAGAAAAATTTGTATGGTCAAAGTATCTTGATACCACAACAGCATCCAAAACATCTTGAAATCATTGAACAGCAACTGTTGACTTGTTTGCTGTGCAAATAAAACAACTGTAATACCAGGAAATCCTATTTTTAATATAGCTAGGTACAAACTGTGGTAATTTATTCAGTGATGTTGAACTGATGGCACCAAAATGTTCATCGAAGCATCTGTTAGTAAGTGCAAAATTATTATAATTAGTGGAAGCTACCACCACATAAGCAATATATGATCTAGCTAATCTGACAGGGAATGGCACAGAATCAAAGAAACTTCTGATTGACCATGTACCAACATTTTGTAATGGAGACACAAAATTTTTAAAATTTTTTACTTTTAACTAGTTGTCTTTTTTGGTGCAGTTTCTGGCATCACAGAAATAATTAGTACCAGATCCAGTTCTGTTGTCTTGCTGATGCCTTTTTCCAAAGGCAGCAAAGGCAAAGCATATTCAAAAAGAAAATGGTGTCAGTGACATCTTTGCTTAGCTTCCAGTAACTACATTCCCTTTTCTTTTTTGAGTGTCATTTATTTACTAAATCTCCAAAGTATTGTTATCTAATCACGTGAAAGTGAGGATTTTTTTTCCTGGCAAAGCTTTCTAGAAGCGGTGTTCGTATCTAATGTTTTGAGCTCCCTCTGCTGGTCTTGTAACAGCACATCAAAAATCCTCCCCGGAGAATAAAATGGGACAAGGACAGGGGCCATATTCAAACAGCCTTGTAAAAATACTGGTGGTTTTTTGTTGTTTTTTTTTTTTTGGTTGTTTTTTTTTTTTTAAGATTCATTAAACAGTCTCTTAAAAGGAGACTGAAATTAAAATATCCAAACTATTTAGCCAGAATGACCTTATCCTTAGATCCTTGCCTATAATCCATATATGTATTTGTAACTGACTGGTTGTGTAATAATGCAAAAGCTGTTGATGTAAATTACATCAGAATAGTGATTCTTTTTAAAATTTTTCTCTCCTGTTTTCAAATGAGATTCAAAGTCAGTATATAAATGTAAAATTTTATTTAAAACCACTTCTTTTTAGCTAATGACTTCTGAAAGAAACCTGTACGTTATGTATGGCAATCATCTCTGTGATCTGCACATAAGTATCATAAGTATCAATGACAAAAAGGTTCTTATTCTACAATATCAAATGGAGAGAAGGTCACAGCTGTTTGTCAATTATTTGAGCATCATGTGACT